GGCGGGAAAGGCCCGAGCCAGAGCTGCGGAAGCCGGGTGGACGCCGGGTGGACGCCGGGTGGAGCCTGCGCTGGGTCCGAGCACAGATCGCACTCCTGAAATATACCTGGAAGGCCGCAAACAGAGCAGCTGTTCTGGCCTATCCTGGCTCGAAAGTTTCTTCTGTTGCTCTTGGAGAGGGCGAGGGCAACAGGCTTGGGAGTCAGGCTCCTCGGATGCGGGTCTTGAGACCCTCTCCAGCTGTGGCGGCCGAGTCCCAGCGGTTTCCCCAAAAGACGAAGTGCCAGAGCGGGTACGACAGAGACGGTACCTTACAGGCCTTTGCTCAAAGACCGACGGGCCTCGGGATTTTTCGGGGCCACCAGGCTCGGCGGAAAATTTTTAAAATACATACTGTGCCCTGTGAGGAGTGCCTCCAGCGCGCAGGCCGGGCTGGTCCCCCGCTACTTCGGGTTGGCGCCCCAGGCTGCGGGTGCTCGGGCGCCAACTAAAGCCAGCTCTGTGCAGATGCGGAAAGAAAAATGGGCTGTGAAGAAGAAAAAGGCCGTGTTTTTGAATAAAAGTTAAACATCAAAATCTGACCCTTGGGTTGTCTGAAGATCCTGGGATTTTTGAGGCTCCGGTGGGACGGACTGAAAACGGTGATAGCAGAGAGAGATGGCACGATGATAAATACAGCTGCTCTAGGCGGGCGTCCTGCGTGCGAGCGCCCGTGTGTGTGTGTGTGTGTGTGTGTGTGTGTGTGTGTGTTTGTTTAATTCTTCCCCTGCCCCGTGGTAGTTTTGTTTTTATTTGTCTTGTGTTTTGTTTTTTCTTGTTCCTGGCTTATTATCAACCTAGAGTGGAAAAGCCGCGCAGCGGCCTCTAGGCCCTAACAAGAAGACAGATTAAACAGAATCGTGAGGCCCAGCAGGACAGAGACGCAGCCCTGGGCACAACAGGGTTGCCTGTGCTACTCCTCCATACACACATCTTTGAACGTGGCTCTGCGTACGTCTGTTAGGGTGCTACATTGGAGAAAAGAAAGGCCTATTAAAAGGACCCCAAGCCCAGGTCGCGCCTTTCGCTACTGCCCGGGTCCGGAGCCCGCAGCTCCGCCTCCTCTGCTCCCGAAAGTGCCGCGTCTCCAAGCCACGGAGCCCTTTTTCTGCAAGATCTTTTCTCATCTTTTGTCCAGATCGTAAGAAAGCCTTAGGTTCCAACTTAGGGATCCCCTCTGCCCAAGACAAAGCCAGGCCCAGCCTGTAGCCTGGCTTCACAGAACGCCCACGAGTGCTCTCAGCTTTCAGCTTTTTCCTTCTGGACTCTTGCCCCACAAATATATTTCGTTTTCTCTAATCCAAATGCCCATTTCTTTTTCTTTAAAAAAATGATAAAGTAATGGGAACTGACCAACTGAACTCACTCCCTGTTACAGAAAGTTAGTTCTAAGTTAGGTCTTCCACCCCACCCCCGTCCCTAGGGAGCGAGTGAACAGAGTTCTGGGACCCAGTTCTCCACGTTCATGGCTCTGGAATGGTCTCTTTTTGCCCCATCCCTTCGCTTGTCTCTCCACTTTCTGGGTGAAACTCAGACTGAAGAGAACAGCAGAAAGAGCAAACTATGATCTGAGTCCCTGATTATGACCCCACATATTGGCCCTTTTGAACATGCGACCGAAAACAGGCTCCAGGCGAACTGGGGCCTCCCAGGAGAAAAATTCCTGCGACACAGCGTCTGCCATGCGCAGTTAAATAACTTCTGTTTTTTCCACAATCGGGAAAATAAAATAAAGGAAGCTCCGAAATAGTAAATTGTCATAAGGCCTACGAGAACCTATAACTGTACGAAGGCCCAAACCAGATTTTGATAACAGATAAGTGAGATGAGGAAATAGGCTCTAGCCAGAGAAGGGAAACACATATTAGCCATGCGTTCCTTTCTGGATTGCCCACGCAGGGGTCCGCGTGGACCGGCACCCGCATCCAAATACAGGCAAAGGCTTGAACGGATGAAATAAATCTCCTTTTAATTTTCTTTTCATCGACTAATAAAAATAATTCCCCAGCACTAAACCCAAATACCGTAACGGGCCACAAGAACACGGAGAATTCATAAAACCCTGTCTCTGCAGGTCACCCACTAATCGCGTTATTATTAGCCTCAGGAGCATGGAAATTGAACTGTCACTGCCTGAAGAGAAAATGTAAGCGACAGCTGTCCCTCCGCGAGTTGGCCAGCATTCCAGTCGGGATCCCCAAGCTCCTGAACCCGCAGCCGCCTCTTCCCAAGTGCGGGCCTCCACCCCCTCCCGGGGCTTGCCAGGACGCGGACCCGGTCTACACCCAGCTCTGGCTGGTCAGCACGAACACCTCCAGCATGATTTTCGAAGTCTGGTCTGGAAGGTTTTTGAAGCCACTAAACCAAGCTGCGAGCATTGTGTGTGTGTGTGTGTGTGTGTGTGTGTGTGTGTGTGTGTGTGTGTGCGCGCGCGCGCGCGGCGCAAGATTCTTCTGACAACAGCTGTTCTGCCGGGCTGTTTTGCACAGTTGAAACCTTGGCACTTAATACAAAACGTTAAATTGTATTTCTCCCTCCTAGGGTTCTTTTAAAATATAGACATCGACATCCGCCCTAAGCTCTACGTGTTCTGTGTACATAATATGCGTAGGATACGCACAGATCCCAGACACAAATTAATCACACCCCTCCTCCCATCCCAATACACAGAAATGTGGGCCCTGAAGAGTGACCCAGGGCGCAGGGTAAGGGGTCTAACACTCATTCCTGTCTCGGTAAAAGGAGGAGAAATATAATTATGCTCCACCCTCGAAAAGTTGTTGGGAGAAGGGCGAGGACCGAGGTTGAAAGCTAAATGAGACCAACAGTGCATTCCCGGTGACTGAGGCATCCCCCGAGAACTGCGCGCCGGTCCTCTCCAGCCCTGGGAAGTGCTAGCTCCTCTCCGCCCCCGCCATTGCCTTCGACTCGAGCCCCTGCTAAACCCGGGGCCTGTAGCCCTTCCGCGGCTGGCACCCCGAACGCTGCGCTCTGCTCCCCGAAGATGAGACACGAGTAAACAGCCCTCCTTTCTTGAGTTTGGCGACCAAAATGCAAAGCTCAGGCAAGCCCCCCTCATGGGTTCTGGCGAATTTAAGGGAAGCTCAAGGCATTTGCGAGAAGAAAAAGAAACCGGTGTTGGAGTAAGGCAGGGTGTCGGCGGCAGGGCCTTCCTCCTCACCCGCGGACTGGCCATTCGTTCGGCGTCCCTTCTCCGCCCTCCTCCCGCGGTCCGGCCCGACGCACTCACCCGGGTGGGGCTCCAGGCCGTGTGCGGCCGCGTCCTCGGCGTCTCCGAGTGGGCCCGCGGGGCTCAGCGCCTCCATGGACAGGTCCAGCCCTTTCTCCTCCCAGTCTCTCAGTTTCCGCTTTTTATTTGAGCCGATCAAGGCTTCAACGGAGAAGGCATGTGCTCTCGAGCTTAGGGCGACTGCAGATCTTCTCCTTTCACTCATCTTAGCCGCCAGCACCCTGGCCCCGGCTCGCCCCCGCTACTGAGGGAGCAGCCCGCGCCCTCACGCTCTGAGCGCCCGCGGGGCCCAGCCCGGGAGAGGCGGCGGCGCGGCGGCCGAGGCTGAGGCGGCCGCTCCTCGGGTCCTCTGCACCCTCCTCCTGCGCCCTCCCCCGCCCTCCGCCGCCGGATAGGACCGGCGCCCCTGGCTGCCCCAGCCGCTAGGAACGAGAGCCCGGAGCGCTGCTCGCTCGCTGCATGAGCGCCCGAGTCCTGCTTCCCACCCACCCGGGCAGGCGCTCACAGGCTGTGCCAACTGGACTTCATCTTTTTTTTATTATTATTATTCTCTCTCTCCTCCCTCTCCCTTTTTCTCCTCCCTCTCTCTTCCTCTCTTAGTCTTCCCGTCCTTCCTCTGATCCAAACTTCTGGGAAACTTTTTTTTTCCTCTAAATTCCTCCCTTCCCTAGGAACAGGGGGCAGGCGGTGCGCTCCTGTCCGAGGGGTGAGGGAGAGGGAGGGGGGAGAAAGAAAAAGACTGAGGGGGGAAAAAGCCAGACCCCAACCAATAGCGAGGAGGGAACAGGAGAAACCCTGAGAGCGAGAACCAATGAGAGGAAGGGAGAGACTGAGGCTCGGGCCAAGGCTGAGCGCCTGTCGTCCTCTGGATGTTCCTGGGTCGACTTTTAACCCCTGACTTCCCGGTCCCCCATGGGTTACTCGAGGGGAGAGGGAGGAAAGCTGAAAGTCGAGGTCTGATCGCCCTTAGAAACTTCTGCAAATCCCAGATCCGAACGTTTGCCTCCCAAATCTGGGCTTCATAGGCGCTGCAAGCCCAGTGTCATTTTAGTTGCAGATCTGGAATTTTGGGGCTCTGACAAAATGTTAACCTGTCCAAAAAACCCCAGAAAACGATTCTGATAATCTCGCGCCTGCCCCCAGGTGCTTTTAGATCTGCTGGTTCCGCCCGAATTTCGCCACGCAGAGTTTTACTTTCCTGTTGAACGTTTTATGAGCAACTCTGGTTAAAGCAAAACGAAACAAAGTCCTGTTACTACCCAGGGTTTTGGAACTGAAAATTTAAAGATTGCGTCCTCCTTCCAGCTCTACCTGGTGGAGGAGACACGGGCGCCTAGAGAGCTACAGGCGGGCTGTGGAGCGACTGGTGGAGGGCGCGCTCCTCAGGCGTATTCCGGCTGGGCCCCGCACGCAGCAAATACCGCCTTGCCCTGCGGCGCGAACTCTGGGCTGCACTTCGCCTATTCCGGGCTCTTTTTCTGGAGAACCACGTAGGGGTGCCAGGCGAGAGCAGCTAAGAACGTTGACCGAGAAGAAGGAGCTTTTTCAAAATTCCCTGCAAATCCTCACCTCCAGAGCCTGGCTCTCCCCGCTCCGCCGATCTCCCCGGACTCCCACCCCCCGCCTTTTAAAAATTTCAGGGCAGTGCGTTCAACATGGGTTTCTAAGGAACTTAAAATCCAACACTTCAGGCCGTTCTTATTTCCCACACGTCCTCCCGAGTTACGCCACTGGTCGCCGGCGGCAGGAGACCCGGAGCGCAATCTTACGCGGAGGCAAGCTCAGACCCGCGAAGTCGGTCCTGCTAAGCTGGAAAAACGTCTCGGATTTCCCGGACAGCGGCCTAGATAGACACAGCCTGATCTTCCCGTCCGAACGCCCTCGTCGAGATGGTTCTATGCCTGCGCAATGAAGCCAGAAAGCCAGGTCCTGGGAGCTGGCGACAGACTGAGAGGCGGAGCAGAGAAGTCGGCGACAGCCAGGCCCGGAGCAGGGTCCGAACCGCGAGTTTAGGTCAAGGAGGCTCAGGGCTTGTTGGAGGCCCCTGAGAACCAGCTCTCGCCCGTTCTTTCACCTGGGGCAAGAAGAGACGGTCTGCCCGGCCTCTGAACCGACGCTTTCACTGCGTGACCGCCGAAGGGCCCAGGGAAATCTAATTATTGCTATTGTAATTGGAAGCTCTCGGGTGCTGAAGATAACAATTGAGTGTCGTGAATGCGCCTTGGGCCTTTTGAAGGACAGCATCAACAGCTACTTTTGTATCCCCCTCAAATTTTGCTCCAATCTAGAAGAGAGGAAACTAGCTTCGTAGCAAATGCAAAAATAATCATGGAAAAACCACCGGATGAGCGTGATTCAGCCAAGCCTGGCCTCTTGGGTCTTCCTGGACCCTGTGTCTCAGGTTCGTAGGTCCCCAGGGAGCATGTACAAGAACTGCGGGGAGCTGGAAGCGTTTAGCCCCTCAGCATCTCCTGCCGCTCTGGCCAGCGGACTTTGAGAGGCCGGTAGAGAGGCACAGGGTCTCCCGCCTCAGCCTCCACTCATCATTGCATCCAGAAGCCGTCGGGGAAAGTGACCTCGAATTCGCTGCTACTGGGCTTCAGCAAAGGAGTTGGAAACAAGGCACTCGGGGAGAGCACAATTTCCCTCCCAGGCGGCTCAGGGCTCCCTCTGGGCTCCCAGTTCTGGTGTCACCTGGCATTTCTCTGCCTGCTGCTGAACCCTGCTGCAACCAGACTGTGTGGGGTAGGATGGGCCTGGCCGCTAAACTTTCCCAGCTTTCTTCCTCCCCATCGGTCTGTATCTCCTGTCTCTCTCTGATAGCCTCTTGCCCTCACACTCTCTCACAGGCCTGCTTTGGATTGAGAAGTGGATACACCATAGACCACACATCCTCCCTGAGATCACGAAACTCACAAAAAAAGAGGACTTTTCAGTTATCCACGAACCTAAATGTAGGTTCAGAGGCCTGAACAATGTACGTGCCCACAGTCAGTGTCTGAGAGACATACATAGAAGAAAGAGCAGTGCCTTCACGGGCATGCATATGCACCCCACCCCAAAGCATATGCCCAGGACACATATACTCCTCCCTGAGGAGTTCCTACACACCCCCCTTCAGCTTGCACATAGGTTGCTCCCACCCGCCATTCCACATACACATATGTCCTAGAATTGTGGGTTAGGCAACTAAAACCAATCGACCCAAATGAAGGCAGGCTGGTTTGTAACAGTCATGAAAATAGGGATTTCCTCTAGGTAAATGGGAGAGGCAGTGAAATTTTCTGTGACTCTATAGTGTTCAATGTAAGTTTTATCCTAAAGGAATGCACTCTTTGGTATGTGACTCTTTGCTGATGGAGAGAAAGATCTGGAGAAAGATTATGCAGGATGGCTTAATATGTGTGACATAGGTGTATAATCATATGCTGTTGGTGGGGGAGAGAGAGGGAGGGTTGTAGGATTAAATGTAAGAATCTGGAAGTGTGGTCTGCATTTTCCCTCCCCTGATTACATCAAAGTTTTTTAAAAATCTCTTGTCATTACCCCAGTTTCTCTTTCCTTTAACCTTTAGGGAAAATAGTGGGATCCTCAGTTTATGAAACTAATTTCCCAAGCATTCCCCAGGTTTCCCAGCTACAGTCTCCAATTTTGTGCCCTGGGTGGATCCTACAGGTGATTCACCCTGAAATGGGTCCATTTCAGGTCCATTTCAGTCCTGGAGCTGATTGACAAGGACTAAGCTAAAGGCCCCCGCCTTCCCCCCTGCGGGACCCCAGAGAAGAAAGGTTGATGAGTACCTGGGGAGTCAGAGGAAATCTTGGAGTACCACTGACCACCAGCAGGGACTTACAGGGAAGTGAAAGTCTAAGCCAAGCCTTGACAGGAGGAAAAGTTAGGAGGAGAAGGGCAGCACAGTAACTGCCCGCCTAAAACTGACAATGTCTATATATTTTGATTTTTCAAAGGAAAAACAGAGTTTTGCAGCATCAGGAAAGTCATAAACACAAACGGGCGTTCCCGGAAATGGAGGTATCACACCCTCCACATCTTTTCCTCCCATCACCCCATACCGGATACCACCTTAAATACCACTGCTGCTAATGCCTCAATACAAAGGTGGCCCAACAGGCAGCTTTGGTTTTGGAGTTTTGAGTAATTGAAAACAACATTAAAAATAGTTGGCCAGCAGGACATATGAGGCTGCTCCTAAACGTGTGGGCAGGACACCCTGTGAAAGGCAAGGGAATTACAATGAATTCGGCCATCAAGGTAGGTATAAAAGATGAGGCATCCATGGGGTGGGAAGAAACCATCAGGACTCCAAGGAGAGGTGGAGCCTGGCAACCAGGTCTGGGTCAGTCCCAGACTGTGTGACCTTAGGCAAGTCCATTGATTGATTAAGGACCTGTGCCTCAGTTTCCCTGTCCTTAGAATGAAAGGGTTCCAAATACCTTACAACTAAGGAAAGCAGGCAAGATATCAGGCGGGGGCTGGACAGACCTGAGATCTTATTATTGCTGTGATCGAGTCTTCCGGCAAGGTGAGGCCAACGTTTCCACTTTTCACTTCTTTTCCCAAATTGGCGCTCCAAAGCAACAAAAGAGCATGAAATTGGGGGGGAGAGGGGCGGGCACCACCGGTATGCAGCGCTTGGGCGTGGTGAGAGGGAGTCGATTTCTGGAAACTCCTGCCCAATGCCAACTCCGCGGAGAAGGCGCGAGCCCACTCTTACCGACAGCATTTCCAGTCACCCAGGTTCGTTCAGGTCGCCAAGAGCTGTAGGACCTTCGTATGTCGTTGACTATTCAACCACCCCCTCGCACTTTTTAAAAAATAGAGTCCGTGGGGGGCGAAATGTCTTTAATGATGTTTTTTTGTTTTCGCGAAATAAAATCTTTTATTTTTATTTTAAACGAGCAGCGTGCCCATCTCTCGGTCTTTCCAGATGTTTGCAATAAAATCGCAGGTTTTGCCTTTGGGATTGGAAATAAAATTTAACGGCCTTCACCCTGTAATTATTCTCTTAGCTTGCCCTTCATAAATTTATCTGTTTTCTATCGGCATTGGGGCAAGAGGCGAGCGAAAGGGGGGAAAGTCCCGATTTTATATTTGTGACTATAAAAAAGCGCCACCCGGTTTCCTCGCCTTCGGCCGCCGCTGTGTGGCCAACAGAGCCGGGCCAGGCGGGCGGCAACATTGCGCTATTGTTCGCTGACTTCGGTCTGCGCTGGAGCAGGGCCCCTCCACAAAGAGAGCCTTGTGTGTCCAAGCCCTGAGCGCCCACGCCCAAGAGGCAAGGAAATCCTGCTCCCCCAGGCCGAGCTCCTCTTTCCCCCAGCCTTTCGCGCAGCGCCGCTGCCTGACCTTCGTCCGCAGCCTGCGCCCGCCGCTCCCGGGGCCGGCTCCTGCCCTGCCAGCCTTCGCAGGATGCGAAACTTTGAGCCTGAGCTGAGCCCACTGAGCGCGAAGGAGGAGCCTGCCTCTGGATACCATGGCGCAAGGGAACCGCGGGACTGGGGTGCAAGGCGAAGAGGCTTCCTGGGAGGCCCTCCAGGCCCTCTCCTTCGCTTTGCTTGGGAGGCCTGGAAGGTAATATTCTGCACTCTCAGGACCTTAGGGTTGCTTGGCAGCCCCATAAAACCGAATCCAAAGTCAGTAAGTTTTGAGTGCACACCCCTAAATAAATATGGGTACACCAGCAACTACCATATACTTGTATAGGAAACTTGTAATTACAAGGGCCATGCATGTCTCCTGTGACTACACAAAGTCATATATATGTCCGCCAACAAACCCATGCATATATACACTTTGTACACCCACAGGGGTGTACCCATGTACCTTTCTAGACTCAAACAACACAGACTTGGGTACATAACGTCTCACACATGTATATGGGGAAACGTCTTGGCCACACATTCAGTTGCCCCCAAAGTCTGCAGAAATCGACACACGTTCTGCCTGCTGCATCTCTTGGCCGCAATCCCACAGCTGCCTTGGGCTCTCCCTGGCTTCTTGAAGTTTAATCCATGTGGCTGTCCTGTAACCTCTTCCCCTTTATCTGCACAGAGCTCCCTGTGTGGTCAAGGTCTCTGAGGCAACAAAAGAAGGGAAGAATGAGGAGCACCAACCTCCAAGCCTTGCACTTTGGGAGAGCCATCCAGTGCCTGGGGGACATCAGAGCTTTCTCCAAAGCCCCAGGATCCCCAGCAAGGACTGGCAGAAAAAGGGAAGGACCAAGTGGGAGCACCAGGGTTTTGTCTTATTTTGTTTTTAATCACGTGCAGTCCCTTCTGCCCTTTAGCCAGCAGGCTTGGGCCAGAAAGCAAAATCACAGGAGCCAGAGAATTCTTTTGGGTTCTTTCTGTCTCTGGACCTTAGCATTTCCAAGTTCACCGCTATATGTGATCCCATCTTTGCTTTCCTGCTGGATTTGCAGGTGCTTGGCTAAGCAAAGAGTTATCCCTTTGGTTTTTCCACTCAGAGGAAGAATTATCTAAAGCTTATGGGGGAGAGACTGCATCAGGCCCTGAAGTCTAACTCAGTGACAACCCTATGTCTAACTCAGAGACATAAAGAGGGTACCCTGGTTCCTACAGGGTGGGAGAACCTGGGTGGGCAGGAGGCGAGGCAAGGGAGAGGGGCACCTAGCACTGAAATCTGTTGGGGCAAGAAAACTAGCAGTAAAGGCAACCGATCTGAATCATTAGGGCCTTGATATGATGGTGGGTTTTTTTTGTCAGAAGTGGTTGGATTTCATCTGTCACTAATAAAATGGCCACCGAGGAGCGAAGTGGCCTCCATGGAACCGCAGGAGCCTACCCAGACCTGAGCCATCACCTGCAAAAACCCACAGGTGGATTTTTACAGCCTCTTTATGGTCAATCTGTCCTCAACACCGGTAGAGAACGAACTGTCC